ATCCATTTCAGATCACTTTATTCCATCTCATGTTTGAAGCAGTATGATTGTTTCTCAACAAAGGTGTTACAAAAGAGGCATACTGAGTTTAGCTTGAACTAGGAGAGTTTATAATCATTGTGAGGGGCAGAAATTACCCACTCGGCTGCATGAAGTAAGACATGTAGAGGTCAAACAGGAGTTTTTACTCACAGGAGAGTTCTTATAGATTCATACATGAGCACAAAGCTACCTACAGACAGGTGCCTGCTGTGTACCTAACATATGGAGCAAGACAAAACTTTTTAGCAAACACACTCGGGGTCACAATGAACACTTTTGTGTGAATTATAATTAGATTGACAGATCTGCAATATGCAGACGAAGCAGATGGCTCATGGACAGTGGAAAGGCGGGGGCTGTTGTGAGCCGACGGACTACAGGTCTGTTGTTATAGCAGCTGGCTGACAACTCTGGGATGCTGTGTGTCAGCATGGGGGGGGGGGAAGAGAGGGGAAGAAAGGGACAGACAGTTTCATTTGAGGATGGAGGGACCTAACTTTATATTATCACTGAGACTTGAGCTCAAATGATGATTCAATATGGAAGATATTAAATGTTCACATGTATTTTTGTTAATTGGATTATTGGTCATTTACATAATTTAGCTCTGGTCATGAAATTATGAATTACAAAAAAAGATACTGTTAAAAATATACACAGATTTGTCTGATTTATTTCAATAAATATCAGATCAAATACTACACATCTGACCATGCTATGGCCATATTCAGTCAAAATGAGGTTTAATAGCCTAGTTTAGCATTGGTGTAACATGCTCATGCTAACTGTAATTTTAAAACTGACGTTGATTTGACCTTGCCATGAAGAAAAATGAAATCCTAAAAGAGCTTTCTTCAGAGTGTTAACTTCATCTCCTCTCTCCTCTCCCTGTGTGGCACTGATGTCTCATTCCTCCCCTCTATTTTCCACTCTCTATCCTACTCAATCCCAGCTTTGATGTATGCATGAGGGAGGATTTCCTGAAGACCAAAGAGGCCATTACCCAGGGGCCATTAGGCCTCTAGTAGAGCATGCCAATGAGTGCAGAGTCTTGCTCTGTTTTCACATGCAGCCACTTTACCATGTGGGTAGGATTGAGGGAGATTCTCTAGGGATGATAAAGCCTTAAATGTATATATTTCATCACAAATATCAGCATTTTTATCAGATCACCACTGTTTTGTGTATCGTGCTGTAACATACACTATAGTGGTTATTTTCTTACTGTTGCATGTGAGGAGGTCAGGTCATTAATTGGTGCTGTTGTTCTTTCATGCAGACTAAGAGCGAGGGGAGTGAGTCATCATCAATCAGGATGAAACGCTCTGACATTTGAGCATGAAATTCCCAGAGTGCCTTGCGGCCCAACCTCGCTGGGTATGTTTGTATATTACAGTAAAGGAGGTATGCAGAGCACTGTGGTCTGAATGAGATATTTATTGTTGATATTAGCAAAGCACTGAGGTCATGGTTGGTAATATTACACAGAAAATACGGGCTGTACGGCAGACAAATATTTATCTAAACATGTAGGGCTGTGTGTTATTTAGATTGGATCTTTCTGTTGTGGTGAGTGGATGAAACTAAAGAGGTGATAAGCTGTGAGGTGAGCAGGGAGTAAGCTGAAAAGGACACAGAGGGAAGATAACCTTGATTGCTGGAATCACTTTGCCGATCTCTTCAATATATCCCTGTAGAGGACAAGAGCGCTGACTCTTCTCTGCTGTGTTTAAAAAAAAATGCCCTCATAGAAAGTGCGTGGTAAATGAGTGACGGTATATCATGCTCCTGTTTTTACAGAGAGCACTTGAGAGGATCATTGAAGTTCGCTGAGAGCGTCGGGACTCTCTCTCAAGGGCAGCTGGCTCTATCATCTGCGCTGAATGCGACGCGCAGTCCTTCTCTAATCACAAATATCAAATCTTAGCATTCAGCATGCTGACTACACTCGGTTTTACAGAGTGTGAAGCCTCACTTTTCCGCCCAGCGCAGCAAAATATCAGCATACGGGCCACAGAAAGAGACAGAGGAGGAGGTAAGGGAGGGAGAGAAAGATGGATAAGGTAGAGGAAAAGGAAGATAAGCGGCCAGTGTGTGTGTATGTGTCTGGATGTGTGTGGTGCGCCTTTTACTAGTCACTTCCTCTGGGCCTGGAGACAGGGGAAACAAGGAATGATTAATTTTACTCCACCCTACGTGGCCTCTGTCTGGGGGAGCAGTCCCAGAAAGTCTGATACAGAACAGCGAGGCCTGTTTCTTCCTTTAAACTCCCTGGATCAATAACAGATTGGCAGGTCAATCTCTTCAGGAGAAACTGCACGGCCAATGAGAGAGACCATGAGCAGCTGAGACCCTCCTCTTGTCTTTCTCAACGTTTGGAACTTGAGGTCATTGATCTGTGTGTTTTCACTGAGCGGATCCCTTAGCTGGCCTTATCGATTAGCTTTAATAAAGAGTAGATTCTCTATATAAGCATCGCAGTGTGTTCAATGAGATCCATGGCCCCAGGGTGCCATTCACCTCTTTCATCTGCCACTCTCCTGCACACAACCATCAACACACACATTCAGGCAGGTGCATTTTAATTTGCATTTAAGACCATACTTTAGAAATTATTGCGTAAATTGGGTGCCGATCATCTCTTGGTCCTAGCAATTGCAGCACACCCAGAGGCATCCAATTTCAGAGAAACCTCTCTACCCCCTGATGTTTTGTTTTCACAGACAGATCTCCTCTTTACATTAGAGAAAACTACACATTTGTGCATTAGCTCAATATTTAATTTGCATTTGTTTTCCTTTCTCCAGGCCCCATGAGCCAGGTGAATTGAGATACTTATTTCCTAATTTATGTTTGAATGGAAGGAGGAAACCAGGAGGGGCTGTGAGTCAGCAGGCATATTTACTGTGAGTCAGCCATCCTGCATCACTCTAACAGTATCTGTTTGTTGTTATCTTTAATGTCATGATGGGAAGTGTGGTACAGTAAATTAATGTGCGTGAGTGGCCATCAATTAATGTTATTTTTCTCCACGTAGGGAATAATTATAAATCAAGACTACTTATCTGCCACAGATATGTTTGGAGGGTAGGATGAGGGGGAGTGTCTTGCTCAATATGTCTTAAAGAATATAGCCTTTGGTCATGAAAGCAGATTTTTTTTCCCCGGAGTAACAAGCGTAGATATTTGTTCTGACTGAATGATCCGTGACATCTATGTACATAAGCAGGGGGCCGCTGCTGTAGCTCTTCATCCCCGCCATCAGGTGGGCTTTCCGCTCCTGCTGAGGTCTGTGCCCCGCAGTGTGTCCTTTCTACCAAAACAGCCCCGTCTTCCCTGTCAGAGAGGAGATAGAAATGCTGTGCAGCAACCCTGCCGACTGCTGTGTGGCTTTCTGTAGCAGAGCACCTGCGTGTCCCCTGCTGACTGACCGAGCCAAGGACAACAGCGACTGGCTGTCTCAACCCGTGTCCACCAAATGACCCGAGAGATGCAGGACTCACCAAAGACTGTCCTGAACCTCGGCGTTGACTGGGAGGTCAGCGGAAAAAACGTTTAGCCCCTTAACCCATCTTCTGTGCAAAGGACCATTGTGACAGAAACACACCTGGGTTAGATCATTTGAAAAGCAATAACCCTTCATTGTGAGTTTGCTGCCGCATGGATGAACCTGACATTTTTTTTTTGTTTAGGTGCAAATGTGTCAAACCTGCTGTGTCCTACAATTGAAATGGTCCGACCAGAGAGCAAACAGCAGAGCAGGAAAAGGTAATAAGATAGGGACAGGTGCACACACAATGAGACAAACATACATGCACACCACAGCCGCACGTATGCGCACAAACACACTCACACAGCTGATAGAGGGAGATATTCACTTCTCCGGGGGGTAACTTCATGCTGGATTAGATTTACTCTGATGTTTCAGTGCATCTCTCCTCTTTGTTTACCGTTAAAATTAAAATACCTGACCTATGTCCACAGGAAAACTTGCTTAACTAAAATATCTTGTCACCAAGTTTCTGATTATTCGGAGGCTCCTAGTTACAAGAAATAAGTAAACATGCCCTGCCCTGCTGTAATGTTACATTTCATAACACTTTAAGCCCCCCGTGTAGATAGTAGCCTATGTTACAGCATGAAACAATCGCAAGGTGTTTCCAAAATGATGTGATTCTTACATTCATTCAAATGGTCATCCACTGGACCAGATTATCTAATAAGTAGAACAAACCTATTTGGAGAAGAGCCCTAAAGTGAATATTTACACTCCAGTTTATACAATCCCTACCTCCCATTCCCCTAATTATCAAAATAAAGCCTGGATTCCTACTCATAATCCTGAGTTTTTGAAGGACACACAATGCTCGATAGTGGACATGAGGAGGAAAGGAGGTGGCCTGATGCGCGCCCCCGTATGTCGCACAGGAATTGGCTGAAGATGCAGGAATGACCGCTTGTCCCAACAGCTGAGTCAAGAGCAACAGATAGGATGAATAAAAACAGGAAGTCTCGCAATTTGAGCTTCAAAATAAAACGTCAGGTTAAAGAAAGTCCTTGAACTAATGCAAGGATGTTATGCCAAATATGTGCCCAAAAGTGTAAATATTGTAAGACCGTAGCCATATTCTCAAGGGACCCTAGTATTTTTTGGGTGGAAAATGTGCCTACCTCTGATGACTTAAGATAATTGTCATGTAGTGTTATACTTAAGGCTTTTTACTGAAAATATAACAGTGACATGTGATTTCTAACTCATTTCTGCCTGCACTCTCCCCTCCCTCTAATGCTATATATCGTCCTATAAACAATAAATGGTTTTATTTTGAAAACCCAGATTGAAACACTCAATTCCTGTGTTGGCCAGCTTCGCTGTATGGATGTAACATTGGAGAGAGTGGGAGAGAAAAGGAGCAAATGTGCGGCGGCGGAGTGGGAGGGAGGACAGTGAGTGCGCAAATAGGCAAGCAGGCACATCTGCAGCAGCGGCACAGCATCGTCCTGATCCTGATCTCCCGGGTCTTCAGCTGCCAATCCTCTCTGCGCGTCTCTGCTTGAGGTTTCACTGCCGGCTGAAGTGTCCAGAAGCCTCTGCCAACCATCAGCTCCCACCAAACACTTTCTCTGGAGCGCGGTTATTCTTAGCTCAGCGGCGAGAGACTGTCCTTCCGGTCCTTCTCTTATTTATCCCAGTTTCTTGAATATTTAATGGAAAATGGCGATCTGCGCGCAGTCGTACGGTGTTTTCTGTCTCTTCGCAATCCAAACTGTACTTATCATATGCGTCTCCACGCCGACGGACGGGACCCACCTCTTCCCCCAGCACTACACGTAAGTACCCTGCACCGTTTTGGGGGATAAACCGGGGTGCGGAGCGCGGAACTAGGACAGGTGGCCCCGCCGAGCCTGCACATGCAGCGGCGTTTACCTCGGAGCGAGAGGAGCTGTGCCCCTGATGTTCAAACACAGAAGACACAGTCTCTGATGTCGCGTTATGAATCTCGCTCTCATAAAGCCCGTGTTGTTATTGTTTTTGTGATGGCTGTGGCATTTAATACCCAAAGCCCTATGCAATTCGTCAACATGGGAACAGGCTACAAGGAGCATACACAGGTGCCACTGGCGAATAAACCAAGCGAACAATAATGTCTTTGAACAACAGTCATAGGGATAGAAATAAAAATGATGATAATAATACTCGACGTGTTGTTTCCCTGTCGTTGCATGGGGAAGAATATCCCATTTACGCATGAAAGATAGGTTGAGCTACAAAGAGGCTTGTCTAAAAAGTCCTCCACTGGATGCACACGCACCGTGAATATAATCTTGTCTATCCCACAGCAGGGTGCACTGGTGTTTTTACAGGATGAGTTTGATTCAGAGACTAAACCAATTAGTTAATGCAGCAGGAGCGCCAGGTCTTTAAACCTTCAGATGAAGCTCCTGTATTTAAAGTCGATCCTCACCAAACTTCAAATCAACTTGTTTAGAAACTTGTTCGTGGGACCTATGGAGCGATATAGCTCACATACTGATTTCTGGTAATTTTTTACAATGATCTCAAAGACATTAGTATTGTAGAAATACTTATAGTTGCCAATGCCAGTATCCCCGTGTTGTTTTATCCATGTGACCGCAGGCAGAGAAAATAGCTGAGCACCCAGCTGTGTGTAAACTATCGTTGGTCTCAGCGGGTAGCCTTCACCTGTTGGGAAATAGTGTTGCCATTATACATATTTGAATTTAAAAGGTTATTTCTACTAAAATACCAACAACATAATAGTTTCACCTTTAATGACACACGGATGCAGACCGAAACATCATCGTCAGCACGAGCAGTACTACTCACAATATTTAGCATCGGCGAACTATTATAACAATAATCTGCCTTTTTTTCCTATTTTTTAAGGTACCGTTCATTCGTTTGAAATTATTTTATAATACGTTTCTATACATTATGAATGCTTTAGGGTGCAACAGTTGCTCACTACTCCATGTCGTGATAATCTGATGCGAACATATAGCCTGTAGTTATTATTAGTCAGGTTCACAGAAAAGGAGAATCTAAATAATTCCTCTATGATTTATCCACTGGCTGATCTCTTTGTTATTCCTGATGGCCAAGGTGACTTTCAAAGGAAAATCACTTATGTTATATCATTGCTCAATGACTTAAAAGGACAATTAGCTGCATCATTGATTTGATCACTTGAGCACCATAAAGGAAAGTAATATGGATAGTTTCACTGACAAATTCCCATAGAATATGAAATTATATTTATTGTATTGAAATATATTTTTAGAATGTATCCCTGTAGTAAATGATAAAAATGGCCTTGTTTGTAATATTTCCTCCAAATACATCTCAAGTCACTTTATTTGAGATTAATAATTGTAAACCATTGTAAAATCAATGTTAATCTCATTAGATAAATTCATAGTCTAAAGCCTGTTGATCTATTTACCCCGTATTATATTCAGCCATCTCTTGTTTTTCAAATTGTGTTTGTGTCATCCACATCACTTTGCTATTTGTTAGAATTTCCCTGTTTCCTAAATTAAGCGTATGGGGAGCGGCTGTGGCGACTGCGTGTGTAGAAAGGCATGACACACACACACACACACACACACACACACACACACACACACACACACACACACACACCGGTTGGAGCATGCGTGTGTACCTGAGTAAATGTGTCCATAAGCGAGGGCAGAATGTAATTTTCATTTTTAATGTAGCTTGGATTGCTGTGTTTGTGTGTGTATAGTATTGTGTATGTGGCAGTAGAAAATGTTTGCATTCGGGAAATGATTTCCATATTTCTAAATTATGTGGAGGAAACATGTTTCTATAACTGCTATCTAACTGTACACTATTCTTAAAGTATTTTAAAAATATCATTACTAAGCAGAGTCTATATACAATTCAGAGCCTTTTCCTCCAATTTTATTTATTTCCCAACATACAAAAATAGTTACCTTTTTCCCTAGAGATATTTCAGCATTGCATTTGGATCCATTTCAGCAGAATGAACATGGTGATGATGTATATCTGACACACAGGTCATCTGCCAAAACTCATTACATTACATGTTACCCATTATGTTAACCTTAAATAAATCAAAAACACAGGAGGCACATAGTAAAGTTTTAATACTATGTCAGAAGAAGAGCCAGAGAGCATCAGTGGGCTTTCATATAGTGTTCATTGAAAACTCAGTTTTTAAGAGAGATCACAGCTTTCAAAACATGGGGTCTCTAAGCATTCATTATAAATCAGGCCTCAGTAGTGGACATCATTTATTTATCAAGCATCTCCTCCTATAATCGCTGAATGCAGAGTTCTGAACATTTGGGAGTGTGAAATATTTGTCTCCTTTGATTTACAATTAGTCCAACATTAATCTCAAGTCAATATATGATGTTTTACATAACAGCATTAAATGATTTTGGGGCAACTATGTGGTTTTTCCTGATACTGATCTGTTGTGTAAAGGCTAACATGTTGACTTCTGCTGGCTGTCACTGGATAGGTATTGTGCATTTTGAAGTGGGTTATTGATTACACTTGATGTACATAATGAAATGGATTTAGAAAATGCAAACACCAGGAACGAAGAGTGACAAGGCCAATTTGTGCAAAGCGTGTCTGTATAGCCTGTACATGTTTAAATGTAATACACTTATGCTAAAGCAACATTAATATTCTTCATCACCATATTGTGTAACAGTTTGCACTTGCCAATAACTGCTGATTTTTTAAAGATTATTGGCTTGCTCAAAAAGTAACTCAATCTCCATAAACCCTAAATGTTAAAACTTTACAGTAGAAATGTTTACAGCCTGGTACAAAAAACGATTTTGGTCTCTGAACCTCAACCAATTGTATACAACTCGGTTTTTAAATTATATTAGGGCTTAAGGGTATGCATAATTAAGGGAGTGGTCACATTGAGTGACAGGTGGGTTTCCTCACAGCTCACCTGGGCTTGCCTCAGCTCCACCTCTTTGTCCATTTTGGATTAGCCATGATATTAGGCAGAGTCAGCACTGCCAACATGACGATGGCCACACCACTCACTTATGGCTTCATAACCGCTGTCAGGAATCCTATAGGTGACGTCATGAAGACTCTATCCAAATGTTATACACTATGTAGTTGTAGCAGAGTAAACTGAACAGGCTTTACAAATAATTTTCTCAACCATCAAGCCACATTATAGACAACATCATCCGTCCTCAGTTTAGATTTAATGTGGCATGAAAACAGTTATACCCCATTATCAATTCAATCTGATTGGTTTGGTCAAAGTTGTGCTGCTTGACTTCACCACGATTACCCATCCCAACGGTATATGTGCATTTACATATACTTACAATAAAAGACATAACGTAGGACCCCCTTTCTGCATGTCATTCTATCATATTTAAATGATGATATACTGTGTATTGTGTGTGTGTGTGTGTGTAGACTAATGAAGTTGCGTAAGAAGTCTGCCTGGCTTGGGGCAGAAGTAATGTCCCTCACTGTTAGTATCACTGCTCAGCTTTGCTCTCACTGTAAGCTTGTTTTCATTTCGTATTGAGGTGACCTTTTCATATTCAGAAGCTCTCCCCAGCGGTCCCTCTCTGCATCGTCCTGTTTGAGGCCTTCTTGCTTGCTTTTAATCTCTTACCCTATAAACACAGCCTGTGTGCACTTGCCTGGCGTGTTTGCTCTGCTGTTACTCTCCTGATGAGCCCCAGCTCTGGCTTTCTGAATAAGGCGAGCCCTGTCACTACTTGCACGATTTGTACAATTTAATAAATCTGTCTTCCCCCTTGTCTTCTGAGCAAATCTGACATTTAAGGATGACATTTCTTTCAGTCATCATATTAAAAGACAAACGACTGTTGTGTTGTTGATGCTAGTGATTAGCTATCTGCAGGCTGCTGAAAGGAAAAGGTTGGCATGAAGTCAGTGGTTGGCTTGCAAATTCGTGACGGAATTTATATATCTGATTGCTGAAAGACAAGCTTTCCTTATGTTTTCTTTTTTGTGACACTTTCTCGTGGCCATGCACATGGATTGTTCATCTTGTATCCAGGTATCCAAGACATTTTGTGAAAATCTTGATCCATTAAGGCATTTGTTGCTTGCTGGGAGTTCTGCAGTGATGAGCCCTAGCCGTTTGATCTCTTAATTCCAAACTTGGCTCTGTCTTACGCAGATCAGCTCCTGCTTAGGGTGCGTTTCTGTCAGACTTAAGCAGTTTTTATCGCAGAGCAACTGATCCCAGCCCAGCCAAGTCAGGCATGTTCGCTGCGAGTCCTGCCAGGGCTGACCAGATATATGATGACGAACCCAGACAGTAGGTGTGGTAGGACAGGGATGCATCGAGATAGTGAGTTGTAAAACATGGAAAGTATGGCAGTTTTACAATCGAGATGCACAGAGATATGGGGAGACTCTTTCTGACACCATCTAACTACCACTTTCACTCACATCCAATGGCAGAGAAACAAATGATGATGATATGTTCAGGTAATCAAGGCATGAAGATTTAAAGTGTCTAATTTTATTTTCCAGAATGATTCACTGGGCAGGACGCATCGAGAAGGAGCTGGAAAAGGTTCTGCAGCACGTCACCGGAACTCAGCAGATGAGATCGGTAAGTTGACGTCACGTTTGCATGTGACGCAGCACTTTTTACTGAATTATTAATAAGTGAGTTTTCACAACATAAGCTCCCATGTGTGTCTGTGGGGTAATGGGTTTGAATGAGCACTGCAAAAACATTTTGATCTAATAAAGACATTACGTTTTAGGACTTAAGTGTATCCTATGTGATCATTTAGAAATCAGAAATAAATGTACTTTTTCCCCATTGTAAATCAGTTTGTTTGATTAAAGAACTTTCTTGATTATTGATTTTCCATTTGATTGACCTTCTTCAATCATGTAAACATTTATATATCAGTGAAGATACACTAGACGAAAGGTATTTTTAGCTAATGAACACACTGTTTTCACTGGTTTAAAGAAGATTTTAAATGTATAACTCTAAATGATACATTTAGGGTAATGTGGTGTTGATTGTTTGCGTCTGTGTCCTGGTATGAGGCTGTGTGTAACACGTGTCTGTCTGTGGTAGAGCAGATGGTCGAGCAGAGTGTGATTGACACTCTTTCATCATATTTCCGCCGTGTCCGCATGTTCAACGTGCTTCCAGGGTTTGTAATGCACCCTGAGATAAATGCTTCATTATTGCTGTTTGGGTGAGTGCGATTCATCCAGCCGGTAGGTGCCTGTGGCGGCTTTGATGCTAGCAGTAACAGGGGTTAGTGTGATGGCTGTTAGTGTGCTGGCGACATTGATGGATCCCAGAGAGCAGGAAGTGAGTTGACAGCGATCGTGCTGGAGTAAAGGTTAGTGACCAGTGGTGGATATCAGGCAGACACTCAGACTGCACGACAGAGATGGGCTGATTTTTTTTTTTTTGCACTCGTCCAGTGTAAACAAATCAAAACAGAGAATGTTTGCCCATCAAAATATTTGCCTTTCAGAGTTGTTTCAGTAATGTCTCAGTATTCCCACTGTGCAATGTGGACTTTTAAATGGCAGGAGACTTCTAACGCAATGTTACACAGTTTTTTAAAGTATCTTCTGAATGTAATGTCACCAACTTTGAAAAACTATTTTTGATTTACGCTTGGTAACAATACATTTTAAGAGTTTATTCAGGGTTTAAGAGCGTAACAGGTAGGAGTATTTTCTCTCATATAGCCAAAACTTGGAGAGGCGTGGTTTTCTCTACTTATGTTTAATTCACTTTGCATATATTTTGGTAGTGATCATTCTCATATTAAGGGACTGCAACTTTTTTTCTGTTTCCAATTACTCTGATTCATCTTTTCTTGATACACTAATTTATCATATTTGTTTTATAAAATGCTAGAAAATAGGGAAAATAGTATCAGAAATTCCTGAAGCCCAATTGCTGCCATCAGATTGCTTGCTGTGTCTGACCAACAGTAAAAAAAACAATATATATTACATTTATTATGCCATAAGACAAGGAAAATGATCAAATACTGGTAATCCTGAACTTTGAAATGTTTGGTATTTTTGCTTGAAAAAAGTGTCTTCAATCCTGCCAGTGGAGTAATTTAATAGCTATGTTATTACTGTATGTATGGATTACATATATGTTATGGTGTCTCTTAGCTGCTTGTGGTAAAACTTGGATGTACTTAGTAAACTAAGGTTGAGATGTGATGTTGACATGATGTTAAGTACTAATTGAGTCTACATGTTGGAGTCTGCTCTCTGAGCCAAACCCAGTCAAGCCATTAGCACTAAATAGTATTACGTTCATCCCAGTTATGTCTCGTGCAGGATGCCCATATGGCTGTGTGTGCATGTGCGTGCATGTGTGTGCTGGCCTGACAGTGTGCGCAGAGCGGGTGTGAGAACATTTATCATGGCCCCAAACAGGAGTCGTCACAGGGTGTGCTAAATGGCCCAGCATGCCTAGAAAAGCCATTTTCTAAATGGATGCCTCTCTCTATACGTGTATCTGATAGAAATCTTCCCAGGGCTATGCCGGCTGGTAACAAGATTGCCTCCCTCTGCGCCCCCCTTCCTCTTCATGCGCAGTTTATTCTCACAGACAAAAAAAAGTGTGTGCAAATTATTTTGGAGTTTGTCTTACATGGAAGGAGACAGGGAAGTACGTTTATTATAATGTGGTCTGTTCAGTTCCTCTTGTAGAGATTGAATTTTTTTTGACAAGCAAGGTAGGAGCTGAACTGAAAGGCCAAGACAGGGCCGCACAAACATAGCTGAATATGTTTGGAATTGGTCAACTTAAGAAACAACACATACAATGTTTTGATGTGTTTTACTTTGAAGCCTCTCAAAAGATAAATAAAACTCAAGGTATTAAAATGTTAAAATCACATTCTTACAGTATATATTCTGCCCTGGGTTTGGTCAAGATGTTATTCTTCCCCGGGGGAGTGAAAGGAAGATAGAGGGTGAGTGATGTATCGGAGGAGTTGAAAGTTTCCAATGGAAGAGTGTGGTGTGCGGATAGACAAGGAGAGTGGGCGGCATTCAGAGCGGAGGAGGGAGGGGGGGCTTCGAGAGAGATAGGATGAAGTATGGCTTGACAATTGAGATGGATGTTCAGGCGGTTTTGTGTGTTTATATTTAGAGTCAAACTACTTAAGATGGATGAAATGATCGAGAAGAAGGACGGGAATTTGTACATTTAAATGTGAGCAGACGGATGCTGTTTATAGTCCTTATCCTCCTCATTATCCTGTGTGCTGCTGCGTTTGATGTGTTACAGTACGTGGTGATGAGAGGCGGCGGTGGACACTGGCATTGTTTCCTTATCCTCAGGCTTATTCAGAACAGTTTTAATAGGCACACATGAGCAGCGGCCTACACCCACACACTGTCATTACAGCGATTTGATGATTTATCAAAGATACAGGCAGATATTATTACTATGTACATATTTAGACACCAGGTGGTCACATGTTCACTGTACCTACTGTAGCTTATTAATAATAAAAAAAAATGCTCTTCTTCCCGTGGTGGAACATGTGTTTGGATAGTAAAAGTAGCAGATTCTTTTTGTCTTTTTAATGTGAAATACAGAGGTTTTATCAGCTAAATCTGCTGAAAGTTATAAAAGTAAAACTACTCATTCTTGAGCAGAACAGCTCCTGTAACTGGTAAATGAATTTAATGAAACTATTACATTCCCACGTTAGTTGCATTTTACTGTTGTACTGTATCTGGTCAAAGTGGAGCTGGTTTAAACTACTTACCTTCTACAGGTGGTAGTTAGTCCAGTGCTTTCCAACTTCAGGTTCAGGCCTCCGCCATTGTGTCACAAGATACATTTGAAGGGTCATGTGATGATTAAAGGTGTTCCGTGAGATATTGGATAAGATGACCTTTTTCGGCCATGACATTCATTTAAATGAATCGCACTAAAGTTTAAAGGGGAAATCTCTTTTTGCTGGAACAACTAAAACCCTCTTAGACATTTGAAACATGACATGCTGCTTTTATGTAGGAGTCATAAGCCAGAAAGTCTTGGGACCTGTGGTTAATTTTTAACAATACATTTAAGTAGGGTGGTAGAATAAGAAAATTAAGGAATGATCTGAAGTTGAACACAAGTGAAGCCTCATTTTCTACAGCGTGATACGGCACAGATCAATTGTTTTGTTTTGTTTTCCATCAAAAGTTGTGGACAGTACCTCTTTTTTAGCTCCATCTCAGTTGCGTTTCCAAGAATGCTTAACCAATACTAGAAGGTGAAGGGAAAACACTGCAGACCATGGTTTGGTCAAGTATGTCATGTAATGTAATTCACAGGGTACTATCGTCATTAGAAAATGAAATGAAAAAGCACCTCGTACCATAGGTGAGTTGATAGAGCCTCACGATGCAGTGGAGATTAGGCACCAAATGTTCTAACTTGCAAAGAGCTCAGCTTCAATTAAGCAGGCTTCTCATATGACGATGCCATGCAACATATGTTGAACTCTTTCTAATTCATTTCAATAAGAAGAGTCTAATCAGCATGAATAATTGAGCCTGGTGCACATGACTGCTCCTGAACCCCCCGCCTCAGACCGACACTCTGACGATCTGTCTGCCGAGCCTCCACACCCTCTGCTTCTGCTGTTAGCTGCTCTTGATTACTGGAAACCTGAGAATGATGCACACCCAGATCAATATACTCACACATAAAGCAGGGAGGGATAGCCTGAGTGCATATTAACAGGGGTGGGATTCATCTAGTTTTTATGAGTTTTCATCTTTTACTCGACCAGGTATGTTTTTTTGCTCTTCCTCTTTCACTTTTGCCCTTCACTCTGTGTGGTCAACACAGACCAGGCGGCCTGCCGACCTCCTGCTGGCTGCAGGTTTATCTCGCTTCAACACAGACCTCCTTACCTCCTTAGTGTGCATGCTCATGAATGTGTTTGTCTGCAGGAAGTTTTTTTCTCACATTTACTTCCCTGAAGCCTCTGGTTCAATTTGAACCCTTATGACTTGACGGAGACGTTGTATGCATGCGGAACACAATTCCAAAATTCTCTCGTACTTCTGCAAACCTCCTCCTGCTTCTTATAAAAAGAAGGTTGCTCTCGGCCAAAACAGCCAGCCCCAACAAACAGATATCTCTACAAAGTGCACTGCTGGATTTACTCACTATCGCTGACTACAGAAATTTCCAATAATCTGTCTCAAATGCCCAGCGCTACACCAGACATCACCCCTGCTCTCACTCCACAAACCCCCCCTCACTTTGTAGAGCTGATGTCAGCTTCACCCCCCCCTCTCTCAGTTTGCTGATCCATGAGTGATGATAGTGTAAGGGCTGATCAGGGTCATTTGTTTCGTGATTTAAAAGCCCCTTCCACGTTTAGACAGTTTACAGGAAGAGTTGAACGTCCCTCCTCCCAACACAAGAAGTTACCTTTAAAGGAGAGAGAGCTCCTCTCCCCCTCCCAGTTCACCCCCCCTCCCCTTCATCTTCTGGCCTGGACCTTACACAACAGCAGCTTGTTATCTGGCTGTGTGAAACATCACAGGCTATTTCTGCCGGATAGATAGTTTACTCTACGGCTCCGGTTTCTC